GGAAAGGAAAGGAAAGGAAAGGAAAGGAAAGGAAAGGAAAGGAAAGGAAAGGAAAGGAAAGGAATCTCTGCGGCGGGGGGGAAATAGTGACAAATGAAGCCCTGACTTAGCAGTAATCTGGCTTCTTCAAGACATGGGAGTAAACCAAATAATGGAGAATATTGGGCAAAGCGTAACTCCTTTTCCCTTCCAGATTCCTATAGCTGACTTTGTAAAAAAGCACCAGCCACTTAGTAATAAAGTGTAAGAAAAGGGTAGCCAGTTGTCCAATCTGTGTAATGGATGGGCTGGACATTTCCAGGGAACACCTGCCCCTTGCACTGGTCAGATATTCTCTCTAGTGCAGAGCACTACATCGTAAATTCTCCATTCCAATTGTCCTCCAGCATCCCAGACAAAATAAGTAGTCACTGTATGTAATCGTCCTGTATTTCAGATGCATTTCTCTCTCCAGCTATCTGCAGCCAATCTAGCTTCCGGTGGTTCCATCGAACCCCAAGAGAAACTGTCACAAGAGTATCTCTTAATTTTTCAGATATGGAGGCAGGGGCAGCCAGGGGGTCTGCAGAGTGATGGCAGAAACTAAAAGAACCGTAACACCCACCCCCTCCTGAAACAACAGCTCAAGAACAGATCCAGATCAAAGCAAACCCAAAAATGTCCAGGGAAGGAGAGAGAGAAAGGAAAAGCTCCCCCTTTTTTTACGGGTGAAGGGGATGAAAACTTGAACCAAAGGGCATAGTTTAGGGTAAACCAAGGTTAGGAAAGGTGCTTATCTAATGGAGACAGTCTGCGTGGACAGACTGTTCAAGACTGTTAAAAGGAAACAGCAGCGCAAACCATTTGGCCCAGATGCTCCACATATTTCGCATATAATTTGCCAGCATGTTTCCAAATTCTCTTCCACGCACTCAGCATGAGGTGCTTATTAAAGTTCTTCAATGGAAGAAAGAATTTTCTGATACCGGGATAGACGTGAGATGCCACTGACTGTATGGTTTTGGAATGGAGTTGCTATGTGGAGTCAACAGGGAGCACCACCAAGAAAGCTTTGGTAAGATATGGGGAAAACTGTACAACTCTCTCGGTTCGGACACCCATCCAGATGAGTCTGGATAATAGACTCTCCAATTTAGATATGCTCAGAACACTTCCATTCCTCAAATGAAAAACATTTTCCAATGTTTCCTTCTATTATGTTTTGCAACATGTCTATGCTGACCACATTTATTTATTTTCAAAACAAGCATGGGCTGAGCCAAAATGTGCCCCTTGGAACATCTGTGCATGTGGATGGCAAAATAGAAGGATGGACTTTCAAAACTGGAAATAGTGGGGGAAGCCAAAAAAGAGGGGGAGATTAAATCACTGGTGTTCGTTAGTTTGTTTTCCTGCAAACCCCTTTGAGTACTGTCATGCAAAGTGATGGGGGAGGGTGTGCTTTGGAAGAAAAAAATAAAATGTGCATGTTTGCATAAGGAATCCTGTTATTCTGTTCCTGAAAACTGTTTCTGAGCATGCATTTCATTTCATTTCATCACCCCCGAATCCCAGATTTAACACAGAAATATGTAGTGCTATCCAGAACAAAAACAGTACTGGTGTTTTGGCTTAGAGATCTCTTACTGGCAATGCCTTACCCGGTTTCCTAAATGGCAAGCTGTGTTTTGCAACAATGGACAGAAGCTAGAACAGAATAGACTGAGATG